TAAACACCACTGCGTCATCCAGACACAATGGCAGTATGACAACTTTGTTAAAGTGGGATGAGGATACTGAATTGCTTTTCGCAGATAATACGAGCACCGAAGATTTTACTGCTCAAGCTGATAATCCTGTGGCAGTTGAATTTCGACTATTCAATGATGAAGTTTGCTTCCCTTCAAGTGACAAATATCAGCAAGTAAACTTTCTAGCAATGTTTAGATGCCATTAGAGATAGTACATCATCGCATGTAGTTGCATTTCTACGTCTTTCAAGTCACTTTTTTTTCATAATTATACTGACTTATTGACTATCATTTAATAATATATTATTCAAAATAATTTGAACACCTATAGTTTTGTAAGGGATACGTCATGATAGTCTGTGGCGGTTATAGTAATAATATATGTACGTACATCACTAATTCAAAAGTTTTTACCCAAGATGATTCTGCATTTTACATTGTGATGTGGGACATTTTAGATCGTCCAAAGACATAACCATGGAATACATTCTCATTCTGGTTTTCTTTCATCGAACGTGTCGTTAAGCGCACTTGTTTTATTGTTCGGTCTTTTAACACATTCAGTGTTTGAAGGTATCGCATTGGGCTCGTCGGTAAGTTCTTCTTTTGTCTTTGTTTCAGATATTCATTTATGTAAAATTACTGTCATACCGGCGTGGTTACTACTCATTTTTTAATTTTATGAGTTATATTAGCTAAAATGCAATTAATGTCAAGTTTTGCATATCTATGTCAATCTCTGTCAACATCTCTAACCTGATTTATGTCTTATAGACTTATCCTTAAATTGTTAATCATGTAGTATTCATGTATATTTCCTGCTTGTACATTCTTTTATACGTACCGGGCAAAATTTAATTCAATGGTTCTAGTTTCTACTTGTCACCAGCATCCCTTCCAATCACTCTTGTTTTTACAGTTATATAAAGAGGTTTTTGATCCACAAATCGAAAGAGTCTTAAGTCATTTGCCTAAATCAAGATTGTGTTAATTACTGTGATGAATGCGCTTTTATCCGGTCAGAAATTTATTCTTTCTAATCAAAAATGGTTAAACTACACTTAATTAAATTTAATTTTTTTTACCTCAATTACGATTTAAGGATGTAGTAAATTGTTATTTAAATTATATATATATATATATATACTAAATTTTTTCCTATTCTGTTTAACATACAGTTTTGCACTAGCAGGAAATATAATGGATTACTTACAAGTTACTGCAAAGATTGCTTTCCGAATTTATTTGCAGCTAATCTCAACAGAATTCTACAGTATTTTAATTGCTGTTATGATTCATGAAGTATTATGTTCATTTGCCTTGGGTGTTAGCTTAGCGCAACACAATACTACTTGTAAAAAAGCATTCATGTCATCAGTAGTACTTGCAAGTAGTATTCCGATGGGGATGTCATCATCTATTGTAGTAAGTTTAATTTTCAAATAATTGGATTATTTCTTAGATGTGCGAAAATAAATATCCATTTTTTCGTCAGTTGGACGATCTGAAGAGGATTTTTTCGAACTATGATTGTGCTGTAAAAGTTCCCCGAAATGAAGACTTCAAAAATTGTCGAGACTAGCCTTTAATCAACGGAACATTTTTTTAAGTTTAAAATAATATTGCGTGATGACCTCTGTTATCTAAAAATTATACCACTTTGCCGTATGCTATTATTATTAACTTTTCATAAAAAGATTTTATTAAAAAAAAATTTTGTTGCTCTTAGATAAGTTCTATGGAAACCTTCACTGCACTACTGATTCGATTTGTGTTGGAAGGATTCGCAGCTGGAACATTCATTTATGTTGCATGTATCGAAATGCTGAGTTCAGAATTGAGTGCCCATGAGCATAGTATCAAGCAAGGCCTCTCTAAAGCATTGGCTGTAATTACTGGTGTATTTGCATTCTTCTTTGTTAACGTTATTTTCGGACAGCGATCGCATTCTTCACATTCGTTGTCACAGCTTGCTGTAATCAAAGCGATTTCAGTAACACCTTCTATGGAAACTGCCCATTGATTTCTATAGTTATTGCTGTTCGAATTTTTGTGATTTTCAAGAATAATTTTTTAGTGTGATTTGATATATTTTTCTCATGCAATTAATCCAGTTAAACTTTTTTGAGGAGGAAAAGTTAAGTTGATGCTTATAAATTGGTACTTTCCCATACGCCTGTACTCTCCTTCTGCAAGTAGCAGTTCGGTTTTCTTTTTAAATGTAATAGCCCTTACTTTTTTTTTATGCAATTCATTCTACAATCATTGCTTTCTTATTTCTCTCAGCTGCCAATATTTTAAAACTTCTTAAATCTGAACAAAAATCAAGAACAAAACTGTTTAATCGCTTAGAAGGTTGGAAAGTTTCTGATGGAAAAGAGATTTTTCCTTAGCTTTACGCTTTGAAAAGGGATCTCCAAAGAATTATCTTGTAAAAATTATACATACGGAGTGTTGTATTTTAACGTTTATTTATTATTAGTAAAAGTCGACTTCAGTATAATTTAGTTTTTAAAGCGCTTGAATTTCACATCTGCTGTAATGTTATACGAGCATCAGTAATACTTACACCGTTTAATATCGGTTGTAAAAATTTTAAAGTTCCATCCAAGTAATATGCAGTGAGTTTAATTTCCATATTATTTCCATATTGTTCATTTGGAAGAAATTCGATTAAAGCTATTTATTGTGAATTGTTCTTGATGAATATTAATGAATGCTTGCAATACAAAGTTGTATATTATTATCCCAAAGAAGTACTGAACACATGCATAAAAACACATTTGAGAAATATAACGTGTGCTTCATTTTTAAAAGTACCGAATAATGTTCTTAGCAATCATTTTTTTGCCTTTTTTTTGAAACTGTCAAGATGAAGGAATGAATTACTTTACGTGTTCTCAGTCTTCTGTTATTGGGTGTCTGCTACCAATCCACTCATCTTTCATAGCTGTTTACAATATTTTGTGGACATTTTCTTCTTGTTACTGTTGAGCTCTTCCGATAATTACCAGCGAATTGAATCTTTCCATTTTATGTGCCAGTATTTCGTGGATACTTTTCAGTTTTTAGTTTCAAATCCTTTTAATAATGAATACTATACGGTACTACTGTTCAGTGGATATTTCAGACAGGTTGAATGCACTAAAACATAAACGAAAAGTTAGATTACACATAAAAAGTTTGCAGAATCCTCTTGATGGCTGAGTCCGCTTTTCAAAAAATAATCCGAGTACGGAATATTGATTTGGCAGTACTCGACGAGAGTGCTTATTACGAAACTATTTATGCGAATAGCAGGTAAATTTGGTAAAATTCAGCTGAGATGTATAGACAAAAGTGAGAAATGAATATTGGTTTTGGATTCTATTGCTTTTACTTGAAGAACTGCTGGGCTTGCAAGTTGTATAGTTTGAACAAATATTTCTTAATTTGAAACCAGAAATTTTTAAATTTGCACACTTTGATTTTATGCAACTAAAAGCTGCTTTTCATTTCAGCGTGCCGAACCGAAGATTTTATGCAATAGAATCGCCGTTTCGAATGAATTCACAAGCTTCAGTAGCATCTAAAAAGATGTCTGTCACAAATGAAAATAAACACAAACGTAAACGAAAGCGTGGCGTATCTTCAAATGTCTGTTGTGATTTACGCGAAGTAGATTTTTGCTTTTGCTGTTTCTGGAGCAACTATTGTAATTATATTTCTTTTATTATTACTTTAGGACTAATAGTGGAGAAATGACCTCATTTGCTAAAAATTTATTTAGGCTTCAATCCCTTTTTGAAGTATTTGCGTTATTTGGTTAATTTTATATTATTTTCCGTGTGTTTCGTTTAGTTTTATTTCACATCACTACTGGAATAACTTCAAATTTTGTTTAGGTCGGCACTGTTTTAAAGAAGATATTAGAAAGGGCAGTCGCAGTGGGCGCATTTAACAAAAATCAGTGCGAGCCAACACGATGTTCTTCTGTTGAAGCTTCATTAAATTTCAATAATTATCTAGCACGGCAGTTAGCTTTCATTACAACTTCAATTCCTTGTCCATTATCTCGTTATACGAAGCTGCAGTGCATTGCAAAGCAAAACATCAAAGAAATACGTTTAAATGAAGAAAAAAGGTAATTTTGATTATTTCCTGTTTGAATTCTACGCTTGAAGATTAACAATTCCGTGGAAAAAAAAGATTTTGTATTTCTTCGTTTTTGGGAGATTTCTATTGAAAAGTTTTTAATTTACTTTAGCATTTAAAGCATATTTTCTCAAATAATTTGTATTTGATATTTACGTGTTATTTATCTGTCTATCTATCTACCTATCCATCTATCTATCAATCTATCTATCCATCTATCTATCCATCTATCTATCCATCTATCTAATCTATTTAATCTATCTGATCTATCCAAATCTGTCCAAGTCTATCTAAATCTATCTCTATTTAATATATATATATATATATATATTCTGGTTTTTTAAAGCCAATCTTGAGATGTATTATTTTAGCACTGGACATTCGCGAACGAATGAGCGAGGGAAATGAGCCATTGAAACCACATCATATTCAGCTAGCATATGATCAGTTGAGAGAAAAGGGCAAACTTTTTCCGCCTTATGGATCTCGTCTAAATCCTTTCATATGATTTTGCTGTGTATATGCTAATATGTTGTTTTAGTTTTTAGGCAAGAAAATAAAATGTTTTTTTTTAATAAAATGAAATAGGCAATAAAATGTCTTTTTTAACCGAATTTTCTGTAATCGAACTAGTTACTATCAGAAAGCTTTGGTCATTGCTCAATTTAATTGATTTATTTTTTTGATTTATGTTTTTTCTAATCTAAATTCTTTTTTTCTAAAAATTAAGAAAAAATCTGGTTGGTAATTTTTTGTCAGTATCCGATAGATAGAAAATATCAATTGCCACTTATTTTGTATTTTTCTGACTTGTTTTGGACGATTTCCATAACTTCCGACTATTCCTATGGATTTTGATTGATGACAGTATTAAATGAATAAAAGCTGTATTTAGCGTTTTCATCATTTCTTGCCTCGCATTGTCTTATTGCGAAAACGAATAACAATAAATGGAAAGAAAATTTTTTTGAAATATGAAGTAATATTGTTAGATTTTGCGTTCTCATAGAATAGAAATTATTGCGTTTATAATTCCGATATTTCAACATGTGGCTTCGTAATTTAGATTTAAATTTTGCAGTTTGGTTTCCAATTGATTTATTTCGTAATTGTTATCTTATCAGTAATGATTTCAGCCGATTATATCAATCGTTTTGAATATACGTTGTAAGAAAGTTGATTCTGAACATGTACGATTTTTAATTGTTATATGTTTTTGAAACATAATTAAATATTAATAGTTTGAAATTAGCGTTTTTTTAATCTAATAGTATTGGTATTTCTTATCCATCATTACTTGAATTCGAGACATTTATACATTACTTGAAATTATAAACTATTATTTTTATACACATAGAGTTGTTTTTTCAGGGATGTGTTCCACTAATGTTAACTCTGATGAAAGTTGTAATGGTTGGAAAAAAAACATCGTTACAATTCAACAAGGTACATTCTATTTATCAGTTTGCCGTAAACTCGAAAGCTTATTATATATAATACTATAGGATTATATTACAATGTATTCTAATAAACACCGATCGAACTATTAAATTCTAAATTTTTAGCACGTTATTTTCTTCTCTAACAAGTCTTCCTTCCTCTGTTTGAAATAAAATTCATCTTGAAATACCACTGAATTTTCTTCTATCACTTTGTGTGATAGAAATAGAAGACATCAATTAGTATATCAGCTATTATCTTTTAATGAAATAAAATCCAGTTTGAAAGACTTCCTCTGCCACTTGTAATTTCTTTCACATACACACACACACACACACACGCATATACGTGAATTATTGATATTATCATTATTTACATACAATTGTGTAAATAATGACAATATGATAAAAATCAATAGATGTTCAATAATAAAATAAAAAAGAGAAAAAATGGAAGGGAAATCATGCAATTAACATCTATAAACGATATTGGAATTCTTGTCTCAATGTTATAATTTTTCCAAATTTTTTTTCAAAAAGTGGAATGCTTTTTCTAATTAAAAAAATTTTCAAATTTGTCGTAATTCAATTAATATATTTTTTTCATTCAATTTTTAACGACTTGTTCACATCAGGTTGCTGAAAAAAAGGAGAAAAGAACTAGAAAATTTAATTTTTTGTCATTCCATGAGCAGTTTGTTAGACTATAAGAGTCCATCATACAAATATTTATATTTCAATGACCTTATGTTATTCAGATTTTTAATTTACTTCACATCAAAATTAGTCGCTTTATACAAGTTCTAAAATTTGCTTTATACTTGAATTTATATAGTTTATCCTTTTACTTAATTTGTTTCCTTATATGCTTATATATTTGTTTTCTGTTTCTTTCTCAATTTCTTTATAGCTATTGATTACTTGCATTTTTTCTTAGTATTACCCGTGTTTTTAATTTTTCTAAATTGCGACAAATTTTTAATATTCAGTTTCATTATGTATTTGTTTATGTCATTTTAATTATCGAAATCGTACCTCTTATATATCTTATTATTGTACACAATATCCACAGAATTATTAGCATATGAGAGAACGTACTCTTAAAAATCTAAATCAATCTGTGACAACTTTATTAATCATCATCAAAAACCAAATGAAATTGAACGAGTGATATTTGGCTGAGAAGCGACTTTAGTAAGAAAATTAGATGGTTAGTTTAATAGGATTAATTTGTCCACCATCGAAAAGCTTATATTCTGTCATATCTTTTCCTGTTTTTGAAATTTCAGTACTTAATTGTTTTTAATTATACTGATTTGTCAATATCCACCGATGTTATCAGTCAGTGAAAAAGCGTACTCTTGAAATTTTTAACCAATATATGAAAACTTTATTCATTTCTACTTTTTTTTCATTTCGTTCCTATTTTAATTCCACTTTGAAGGTTTTTAAATCTTTTTTAAAGGTTTAATTCCTTAATTTTTTATATTTTTTTGATTTGCTCTATCATATGAATTTTATCAGTTTTTACATTTGCTACACAAAGATCTTTCATGAATGTTGCCATCAGTGATTTCGACAATTGTATGTAAAGACCTAATTTATATTTCTTTCATTTGTTTCATCCGATGATCCGTCTTCTGATTATACCCTAATTATCATCTCCACTAAATACTCCATTCGTTTGCTCTCATGCCTTGTTTACTCTCTTAATTTATCAAACAATATGATAATTACTGCTTATTTACAATGTGATTTTATTGTATAAATTACAATTTATTATTATTCTCATAATTATATCATCATATCAATCATAATATCACATATTGTTGATCACTGAGTGTTTATAATAGCTAGTTTTGAAAGTTACCTTCTGTTCGCTTTCTTCATCTTTTTCATATTTCCACCTTTCATTCATTCTCACTCGTATTCTATCCATAATTTTACTCTATTTCTATTTTTGCCTTTGTATCGTCATCTCTACCAACTGATTTACTGATTTTCCATCTCATCAAGTGATTTTTTAAACTTTTAAAATAAACTTTTTTTCTTAACTTTCC